TTGAATTAAAATCATATTTTAATACGGACCAAACAAAGTCTACCTTTTATCAAAATTTACTAAAAATCTGATTTTAATTTCTACCAAACAGGGACTCATTGGAATCAAGTTTGTTTCTTTATTCTTCCTCAGGCGAGAGAGGTTAAGCATTATGTTTCCTTCTAAATTTTGGATATCTTCTCTTCCATTTTATTATTAAATATTCGACCTATTGAGTGCTTTGATTAAAATAAAAATAAATTTGTGACTGCTACCATAATTTTGTAATTTTTGTTTTAAGAATGTCTCACTGAAATTGTCATTTTGTACATCTGTCTTTGAAAAAAAATGTTTATTTTAAAAAAGGAGGTTAACTAACAGAATGGCATGGCAAAAGATGCGTCACTCATAACGGAAATCAATTCCCCCGTGCTTAGCCTAATATAAATTTTATTTCTTCATAATTAATTAATTTTAATCTTTTAATTTAAAAAATTGTTAAAAGAAGGCCTGCTTGCTGAGTCATTCTTCTGTTCACTTCTATATTATTAAAATGCCACTTGACAAATTAAAAGAAACTGTCAAATTCACATACACAGCAAGAAAGAGGAAAGACTAACGGTGAATATTTAAGTATTAAGAGACGATGAAGAGTGTAATAATCGAAGATATCTATTTGAAGTTGAAAAATAAACGTAGATTTGGACATTCACATAATCGTCTTACGATGATATAACGAGGTTCGAATGACGAAAGACCAACGATAAATATTTAAGTATTAAGAGACGATGAAGAGCGTAGCAGTTGATCCACGAAATCTTTGTGACGTTGAAAGTAAACATAGATTTGGATATTCACCGATAGTCAAAAAAAGGAAATTTTTTTTTACTATAATCGTATTTACAGCGACTTGTTGCTCAAGACTAATCCATCACTTGCGTGTTATTACTTTCAGTCAAAAGTTTTAATAATGGTATTTACAGCTAATAATAAAAATAATAATGCATGTCCATGAAAATAAATATCATATAAGGAAATTACCAGAGGAATTAATAAATTAAAAGTCTAAGAGATTTCTGTAAAATAAGCGAGAGTCAATGGTTATAACTTATAAAAGATGGTTGTTGGAAGTTATACTAAAAAAATTATTAGACTGAAACACAAAAAGAAATAAGGTTGTGTTTGATAGGTGGAAATTCCATGGAAAATGGAATTGGTTTTCCATTTTCTAACTTTTTAGGTGTGATAGAGTAAATTTTCTCGGCAAAACTTTTTCCCACACGTGCACATTTTCAAGGGTTTCGTGGAAAACCTTTTCCCTCCTAAGTGGTGGCAATAGAAACAAATTTTATCATCAATTGCAAAAAAAAAAATTTCTTTAATGGACAATTTCTGTTAAAAAAAAGTCAAACGAACACCAAAAGATCAAACATTTAAATATTTTTCACGTGAAAAATTGTACAAATCAAACACAATTAATTACAATTCCCAAGAGTTCATTTTCTTTCCACCAATTTTCCACATTGTAATCAAACGGGACCCTAAGAAAATTACTAGATTCGACGAATATTTATTTTCATTGATTTGGTTTTGTTTTTTTTCTATTTTAAAGCGTCTATCAAGCTCGTGTTATTGTTAAGAACACGATGAATGTCTTCATTTATTATCACATTTTCAGCTGATCTTCGTAGCCTTTTAACTCTAGAGAAGTTAA